GCCCCCGTGTATGATTTGTAGTGGCTGATTTTGGTTGTTGTTTTTCATAATTTTATTTCTTCTCTCAATTTGAAGATTTAAAAGAAAATGACTAGACAATCTAAATGTATTTAAATATTCTCAAAAGTTATGTTATAATGTGATTAAAAAGTGATTTTTGTCATGCACCTTAGATGAACCTTTAAGTGGCCTTCATACAAGAATATATATTAAAATAAAAAAAACAAACATACTTTTCTCCTATGATCCTTCATTAACGTGAGAATAAGGCACCAGTAAAACGCCATCTCAAAAGTATAATACCAAAATACATCATTTGATACATGCTGAAAAAATTAAAACGACGAAACATAAAAATTCACAGTGAAATTGTAAAAGTTTAATTGATATTATTTTATAAAACAAACATTTAAGTTGTAAATTCATACGCTATTGTAAGAACATATAGTTATGTAAAAAAATGACATTAATTTACATGAACCAAAAATCTTATTGAGGTAAACCATTTTAAATATGAAAGTACATGGCAGAATATGCAAGAAAAATTATCTGACATATATCGGCAAGCCTGATAACGCCAGATGGGCGGGGTACCCTCGGGACGGATATTTCGATCCGAACCGTTAAAAATGACAGATATTATTATTCGTCTTTTAAGATTTTTAATGCTATTATAATTTTCCTGGGCGTCGTCGCCATCATCTTTGTTGTCGTCGATGTCATCATCATCATCATCATAATCGTAAAAAATTGCGACAATAATACTATTATGATAATAATATGATAATTTTGATGATGATAATGATGATGATGATGATAATAATAATAATGATGATAATGACGATGATGATGATGATGATGATGATGATGATGATGATGATGATGATCACGATAATTATTAAATGATCGACTATGAGATATGTTTAGCAAAACTTACTGACTTAGGCCATGTTAACCAGCATTCTTTAGTTGACCAAAACCAAGGCTTCTGTAATATAGAAATAACATTGTTACCATAGAAACGTGGAATTTAATAAGTAAACAAATTAATAACATTTCTTTCAAGTTGCTTGATAAAACAAACTCAGACACCTCTGTAAAAGTTAGTTTTCGAATAGTGAATTACAAACAAATGTAATTAAATTTAACCTCAAACCTGTTGAAGCAGAAAGTGGTCACCCTTTGTCACCAGTATAGACCCAGGCAAGCCTGCACATCCATGAAGTCTGACCAGGGTTCATACTGTTGGCAGCTCAATTTTTGTATTTTGATATTAAAGTCCCTTACACTTCGAATAGACTGTTTTAAACTTAAAGTGGGGCCATTCCATTTCAATCAGTGCACCACATATAATACAAGAATGAGGTGTATATGCAGCAACAATTATCAAACAGCAGTACATTGCATCTCATTATAACAGGGGTAAAACGAACAAGAACATAAAAATTTAATTTCATGCAGTTATTTATGTAATTTTTCTCTCTCTGCATAACCGAGCTTTAAAAGTTTGTTAAAGCTGCACGCCTCCAGATGAGCAAAGATATTTCGATAAAATCAAACCTGAGAAAAATGTACTAAGATTTTAGAAAGGTTTAAAGATTCAAAATTCTAGTAAAAAATACCATTCTCCTACGCAGTGATCTCCCCTTATCAGTACAGAGATCTCTGCCATCACAAACATTGAAATATCAATATTTGGATATTTATATTTTTTAGCTTTTTAATTTATTTTTCATTATTTTGTATACTTTTGATAATTTTTTGATAAAATATAACGGACGAAGGTACAAAAAGTTAAAAATAAAACAGAAAGAGAAAAAAGACGTTAGATTTTCTATGTAACGGTCGATATTTACATTTGAATTTCGACGTTACGTCATGTGACTTTCATGATCATGTGACGTCTGTGAAGGCAGTGATTACAATTCTGCCAAGGGAGGTAATCAGTGTGAGGAGTTTGAAAAAATACATGTCATGTGCGATTGATGAAAGAATTTTTCAGTAATTATAATTATATTTTTACTGCGTTACTTAAGGCCCTGTCACACTAGACTGCGCTTTTACTGCGTTTGCACGGCGTTGTTAAATTTAGCAAAGCGCCGCGACATCGCAAGAAAAATCTGATATTTTTGATGACATGGAGACTTCATGGCGTCTTTAGGGCGATCATTGCGTTGCTACGGAGCTTTAACAGCGTTAAAACGCGTTCCTACGGCGTTCTAATTGGCGATTGTCTGCGTTCGGACTGCGCTTCTTCTGCGTTTTATGCGCTTCCACTGCGCTTTCACAGCGCTTACACGGCGCTCTCGCGGCGTTCTCACTGCGCTTAAATCATGCTTCATATACCAGCGTTAACTGGTTCTGAATTGTCGTGAACCTGCTACAACTACATTCTTGCTGCCGTTCATCATCCATGATTAAAAGGAAATTTACTTGCAAACACGTTTTATATATACAGTGGAACCCCACAAAAAGGAATGGACTAAAGTCACAGTGATCTTAATTGCGGATGGTCCTAATTATGGATATAGATATAATTATCAAAGCATATATTTCATGACCACTCTATTTGAATTTTATGTGTAAACATGTTAAAACAATTATATTATAACCTTCATAATTTTTTATATTACTATAAACTGATTATAATTCACCTATTAATTAAAGAAATATTTTTTCACAAAATAAAATTGCAGAAAATAGCATTAAATCACTCTGGAGTTTATTTTCTTACATTCATTCAATTTTCTAATCATAACAGTTGAAACACATTGTTTCATCAAAGTGTCATGCTTTAGAGAATTCAAGAAGATGAATAAAAATAAACTGGTGATCTGAATAGGTACTGGCTGGAATATCAGTAATCTCAATAGCGGTGACAGATAAATAAAACAATGAATTGGAAGTGAAACTGGCAGTCTTAAAAGTGGATAAGTGTAGTGGTCTTAATTGTGGATCTTGATACCATTAACATAAAGAACAGAAAATTCCGTTCTTTTAAAAATTGGTCTTAATGCAGGGGTGATCTTTATTCCAGAGTGGTATTAAGTAGTGATTTTACTGTGCTGTATTCTGCAATTTCAGATGAACGCAGTAGAATCGCCTTGAGAACGCAATGGTCGCCGTGACAGTGTCGTAAAGTCGCAGTAAGAGCGCTTTAGAAAAATAAAGCTCCGTACAAACGCCGTGCAAGCGCCGTATACACGTAGTAAAGGCGCTGTAGAGACGCCGCACAATCTCCGTACAAGCGCCGTGGCTTACCATGGCATTCATTCGGCGATCCTTCTGCGCTTTCACGGCGTTCCTGTTGCGTTGTAGGAGATGGTACTGAGTTGCTACGGCGTCTTTACTGCGATACCACTGCGCTTCTATCAGAACGCCGAATGACGGCGATTGTTTTGAGCATGCTCAAAATGCGCGCCATCGGTCGGCGTTCTATGCGATGCCACTGCGATGCTGTGGCGATGCTACGGCGATGTTTGCGATCTTACTGCGCTTACTTCGGCGTTCTAAATTTTCTTTGGACGCCGTGAGAACGCCGCCCTAGTGTGACAGGGGTTTAACGCAGTAAAGGCTATTTTTGCACATTTTGACCTCTTTATAGTAATTTACATAGGTTGTTAGTGCCATTGATAATGTGTAACTTGCATTCTTTTGGTAACTTTACAATATTATACTGTAAAATATATTTTCAAATTTTCATGAAAATTAGCATGAATCTGGAGGCGTGCTGCTTTAAGTACTACAAGAGATACACAGCACGCCCATGGATATGACACTAGAAGAAAAAAAATATGAGATAAGAATCGCATTATAAAAGGCAAGGTTTTTTGTTTTACATGTAGTGACACTTAGAAGCTGTTTCATATCAAATTGGGAGTTGCTTTAACACGGGCAGAATGAGGTAATTATAAATAAAAGAAACGTTAACTATTAAAAAGTTATCATTACAAGGTACTCACGTCCCACAAAACATATAGTCCATATAGGAAAGCTGTACTGTAAAATATGAAATGCCAACTGAAATGAAATAAGAATTTAAAATATGAATTCTAAGCTACATTTAAGGACCTTTCCGGTTTTTCGTAGCGGAACATTTAGCCACACCTTTTCCATTCATTGCAAGTTCAACTGCTCACAAAGGACCTTTTCGGTGTTTACAGTTTAATGTAATTTGGCTAACTTGTTATCCAATCGCTACACTGAGATAATACATAGTCACTGGTTGACCTCGTTCGCACAAAAGAACACGTGCTTTTGTTTGTGATACTGTTTGTGAGCAGTTGACCTAGCAATGAATGGAAAAGGTGTGGCTTAATGTTCCGCTACGAAAACCGGAAAGGTCCCATGTTTACAATTTTGTTTGATTAGATAACAACGCTATCTGACAAACTTCGAAAAGAAACAACGATTTACAATCATTCCAGCAGTTTCTAATATAAATTCCTAAGTAAATGTTAGTGTTTATCCGTGCTGTTCTATAGCGACTGGAGAATGTTTCTAATTTCTGTAGAACAGCTACGGGTGAACACTAACATGTCAAGCTTTATTTGGTCTCATTATTATTCACTTTATTACGTCACTACGCGGTTCTATGAATAGAAGTCGACTATGAACGGAATTCAATAATAATAATAATAATAATAATAATAATAATAATAAAAATAATAAAGCTCCAAATAAATAAATGAAAGCCACACTTGGAAAAATGCTAATGAAGATATCTTTTTTAAATGTGAAGAAAGCAATCTGTAAAACATTTAAACTAGTTTACTGTTTGTACAATTATTATTCATGGCAAATGCTCATATCTACTGTCACATTTTTGAAATCTTATACATGTATTCAATTCACTAACTGGCTTTAATATCCTTGAATATGCCTCTCATTAAACTTTATAAGATCATTGCTTATATTGGTACAGCGAAAGGGGTGGGGATTGCAGGGGGGGGGGGGATATTACCAGCTGTCTTCAAACTTCTTCATGGGAGATGGCGTATCTTTTTGTTTTCTGATACGAAACCATATATCTATCTTCCTCGTTGACATGTCCGTCTGCTTTGAAAGGTTCTGAATTACATTAGAAACAATGTATTTACATAACAATAGTTTACCACTACAGCTGATTATTATAAATGTAGTGATGGGCTACGGAATCCTGAATGTTCCATTCAAGAAAACGTCCGGCGAAATTACATCTCGACAATGCGATATTGCGCTCACCAAAAGAAATATCGCCCTGTCATTTGAAAATGTCGTGTTATAAAGCGCGACATAATTCAATTATCTTGATGAAGCCGCCCGGTTAGCTCGTAGAACGTTGGACTGTGAATCGGGAGACCCGGTTTCGATTCCCGAACGCAGGTCATTTTCGTGTGACTGATCATGAAATCCTTTCTACGGTCATTCGCACTGTACCTCTGCTCTGGTATGTACAGAAGTTTCAGTTCCTTGCGAAAGTGGAAGCAGCTAGTACTGGTAATCTGCTTGACAGCCTGCCCAGGAACGATGCGGTGGTTTGCCCTGGTAAATTCAATGTGGCTTACTGTCGTATCCAGAGTGAAAACTACCACCACTGTCGAGCGTCGTATCGCATTGTTGCGCTATCACTTCGCGTTGCCATAATTACAACTTTAGACACTTTTGGCTATTCGCATTATGTGTCACTTCGCATTTCCGTGTATCAACCTTTAAATCTGACTTACTACGTCATAAACGGCATGATCAGGATTCCGTAATAATCAGTTTGCGTATTTTACGAAATTCTGCATAATACTGCTATCGTTACTGTCCACATTTTTTTCCAGACAAAACATGTGTAACGATCAAGTAAATATAAAGTTGAAATTTTTGATATCATGACTTATGTTACTTACTTTTATCAGATCAGGACCTATCGTTTTATTTTGTTTATATGCCGTTTCTAGCACGGCGTTTTCTGTAAGTGGGCGTGGTTTACGCCTTGATACGCCAAGGTGATACCCCAAAGGTTCAATAAAAAGTCTGAAAAACACAAAATGAATTTAGTGTCTTTATTGGTTTATATCATTTCTGATATGGACGGACATTCATTTACAATAATTGACATTACGTAAGATAGCTAGCTAATTTCATCATATGAAAATGAATACCCCTTAAAAGATCAAGACTATGTGAATGTGTATTGATTTGGATGAAAATACATTTCTTCTTATACCAGTCATCACGCCGCCGTACGAAATATATATGAATGCTTGGGGATTAAAATCAATTTATCTTTAAACGACGCGATACCTTCTATTAAACCTTTTAACAATAGAAGGGCGAAGCATGAGATTTTTGACAAAATCTCGCATGTCACAAACAACCGAAGATTCAAACAGGTATTGTTTGGTTTTATTAACCTGTCAATTCCATACTAATTACACGGTCAATGCACAAAATATATTAATCTTCGAAAGATTTTCGGTAATTTCCGTGAGATGTACTCAGTGAGATTTGATTAAATATAATTTGTGCCTATGGAGCAATTATACTGAGCGGTATAGCGGAATAGGGTAAGCTACAGGTTAATGATTTATAAGTGTCCTAATTGTTGTGAGATCGAGACCGTGTACCTCCAATGTTTTTTTGTTTTTTTTTCCTTCTTCTTCTTCTTCTTATAACTATTTTCAACATTATCGGAACTATATTTGCTTGTTATGTTGTTCGTTTTGATTTCATATGTTTAGCGATTAAATTCCTTTTAAATAACATGCTTTCAGAATTAAAATTTATAATGAATTCGGATTAAAATTAGAAAATGCCATTTCAATGGCGTAAAACACAATACAAATTGAGACAATATTTCTTAGTTGATTCATATATGTGTAGACAATATTGGAAGCACTCGGCCATTTTCATGAAAATATACTGCAAAAATAAAGAAAAAGAGTAGGCCTTAAAACAACGGCAAAAGTAGGGATCGAACTACATACCTATATTAGACATATATTAGACAATCACTCTACCGTCTCTGCTATCGCGGATTTGACATGGCCTATGCATTAAGCTGGTGTGACTTTTCAAAACATTAGTTATTTACTCCATATTAATTCTCGTAAACGACACGGACAGAACCGAAGTGAAATCGAATATTTAAATGAGTGCTATAATGTATTCAAAATTGACAGGTCAATAAAATCAGACTATACAAACAGGATATTGAACGATCGAGGCATACTTTTCATGAACTCTTTATATAAACGTCTTAAATTTGATTCTTTAAAACTGTAATTTTTGTACATTTCTCGAGGTGTCCCGCTTTAAGGAAACTCTGTGGCTTTAGTGCTGAGTTGAAAAGCAGTGCAACTGTCATTGAATTTGAAAAGAACGTTATAAGTTATATTTACCGCTCACATTAATGCACTTCTATTAATCGCCACATTTTTGTTAAACATAAAATTGAGTGTTCATTCATATTCGTTTATTCAAATTTTATTTTCGTAATAAATCCCGAAATTTTAGATCTTAAAACATGCGTGACATTATGCCAATTTTACTTTGACAATCTGAGATTGTTGATTATAGTTGTTTATTTAAAGATGATTTTCATTGTATCAATTAAATGGTTATTAAACATTATTTCCTCCATGAAAAACTTTTAATGCAAGCACTGCAAATGAAAAGAAAATAATAATAATAATAAAATGCATGCAGCTTGAAATCTTGGCAAGTCAAATTTCACGTAGAATAAGAAAACAATAATAACTAAATGCTTACTTTTTATTTATATATCTTATTCCAAGAAGGGCAATGCCAAGTATAAATGACCAGTGTAAATCACGAACTTGTGGATGGTATATACCCGAGCCTGGGTGATTCTGCAAGTCCTTCCATCCGTATCTTGGCCCAGTAGAATTTACCGGGAACCAAAGATCTTCGTCCCACACCCATTCAAACATACCTTTAATAAAAAATTAGTCTACCTTTTACTAAAATTAAACATAACTGCTTAAAACAGAATAAAATGTGTGTTTAAAATACAAAAAAGTTTTCTCACTTATCACTGGTAACATGTAAAACACTTTTTCAGCAGTAAGTAACTCTGAAAGATCTTTCATGGCTCAGAAATGCTATCATTTTGGTTCCTCAAAAACTATTAATTTTTTGGACAAAAATGATTTCATTCATTATTTGAAGAAGAAGAAGAAGAAGAAGAAGAAGAAGAAGAAGAAGAAGAAGAAGAAGAAGATGAAAGTTCATACAATAGATCATTTTAACATAACGTACTTATATATATTTTCCTGTGTAAAAACTGTACCAGCTTTGATGATAAAAAGAGTCTCATCCGAATTACTGATATAGAACGTAAGTATTTATCTTGCATTTCTTTCGTTATATCGTTTATCGCATACTATACATGTATAAGTAAACCATAATACATGTACTGATTAAAGATAAAACAATTTAGACATTCGCACCTATAAATTTTAATCTCACTCTGTTATAAAAGTAATACTAATACAAATAATAAAAAAAATGATAATAATAATAATAATAATGATGATGGTGATGATGATGATGATGATGATGATGATGATGATTATAAATTAATAGTCAATTTAATTCATTTAATTTAGCAACAACAACAAATGTCGATTACAAAGTATATTCACTGATATGATGAAAACCCAGCGTGGTACACCGGTGCACCATACAGAATCATTTACCTGGTGATTTCAATATATTACGGAGGCATATAGTTGACATGTATCATCACGTGCCAGAGTTAAAAAATCATGTTAGATAACTCTTAAGCGGTAAAATTTTGCTGTTTGCATTATCTTATGATTGATACTAAAAAGTTCTATCTAAGCATGTCTTTCTTATCTCATGGCTACGAGAAGCCCTTTGTTTTGATCCTATGACCAATAGTTAACTTTAAACAATATCATCTTATGACTGCAAGGAATTAGGTAATATTTAGTTTTCTTTCTTTGCTCATCATGTCGTGGCTGCACGCTAATTGATGTCCGTTTTATTTCGTTTTTTTTTCTCCTAAGATATTAGATAACAGTTTGCATTTTTGTCATCTCTTTTTCCATTTTTATTTTGATGATGCGATGATAAAAAAAACTGTCCGCATGTGTCCTATGTGCTTCCGTAAGTAGTATTTGATAGATAGACCAGCCTGCGCATCCGTGCAGTCTGATCAGGATCCATGCTGTTCGCTATCAGTTTCTCTACTTGTAAAAGAGTTGGTAAGCGAACAGCATGGATCCTGATCATGCGCAGGCTTGTCTGGATCAATGCTGGTCGCAAACGCATTATGTTGGTTTTGTCGTGGCGCGGCTCATTATCTCTGGCCGTTTTCATTGATTGATTATTCAAGTGCCAATCTATTCCCACACATGCGGTAACCTCAAGTATTCAGTAACTTTACATTTAATCAATTTTGTTTTCAATGCTATATCTACTTAGTATGCAATATGAATAAAACCAAATATATCGAATGAGTCTATCTGCAAATAAATCACAAAAAAAGCATTTTATGTACATTAAATTATGATAATAAATCAATTAAAACAGCAGGACATAAAAAACAATCAATTAAAATATGGCATGGGAAAGATCCAGAAACACTTGTCTGTTACATTTGTTGGCAAAACGTAACCTGACATAAAAATAAGACCCTGCCCATTATAACTAATTTTTGTTGTCAGCTACGGATTAAGTAGAAATCAAATAGGCTTTATTCTATATTCAAATTTCACCATTTTCATATTTAGTTTATCAAAATTTCATTTAATTCGAATGTGCTGGAAGCTATACGCGTATTGAAACACTCTCAAATCCGTTTCTGCTAAGCAATGAATGTAAAGCTTCTTGCTCAAGAAAACAACGGCTTACTCCTTTCAGGGCTTGAACCCACGTGGTCAGCAATCCTTTGATTGCTAATACGACGCGTTAACCACTCGGGCACGCCGCCACACACACGCACGCACGCACACACACAAAAACACACATACACATGCAGTTGAACCCGATAGGAAATAATGTTGGACCCAATTTATTGTTTTTGTCATGCTGGCAGGTGTGTCAGAATTTCCTGTTGACTTTTAATTGTTTTGTGCTCTTTTTAGGCTTAGGTGTTTTAGGAGGACAGGACCTATAACCAAAGTAATGAAGAGGGGACGAAGATACCCGAGAAGAATTCTCTCTACACATCAATTTTTTGTTTGGATATCCTTGACAATGAACGGAACAGGCTTTCAACGGTCAACAATTTTGTAAAAGCTCTTAACATCTTCTACAAGTACTCTCTCATTCAGTTCCAGCTTTTGATAACCTAGAATTTCTTTCATAGGCCTCTTTATTCAAAGCTGCATGTTTCCTTGCAAGATCTTCATTAATTGATGGTATAGTTTTATTTTCCAGCACCATATGGGGTTGTAAAACCTTTCGTTCCTAGATCGGTATACAAAAAGGCATCAATTGGAATATCTGGAAGAAAGTATTCCCTGTGAAGCACTAAAATCAAGAGAAATACATGGAAATTGCATCTTGGTTTGTTTGAGTCTATACATCAGATTCTGTAAATGAGGGATAATGAAAGGTGCAACATCCCTCATGCCCCGGCTTGACCGGTACTATGAACACCTAAAACAACATATACTGCCAATATTGACAATCTTGGATGTTTACGTTCTTGAGCAGAAACCACTTCTTTCACGTTCTCATGGCACTGGACACTTATCATATTGTGAATCTGAGCTTTTCTCAACCTTTCAAACGAATGGATTATGTTAAAACACTGCTCCTGGGGCTATAGAGGTCATACAATTTTTCCGAGGGTATGAGCTCAACCGCTAGTTTTGCTTTACGTTTTGATATAAGCACTTTTAGGTTACATCTACATTAACTTTGAGTTTATTCTCTTTAAAACTTATTATGTAGTGCTACCAGTCATCTGTTGCTTGCTGCATAAAGATCTTGTTGTGGGATAAACGTATGCTAACAGGTTATGATTAGTTGTCATCACAAATTGTTTCTGTAAAGATTGTCATGAAACTTCTCCATCACAGTCCATTTCAAAGTCCAAACCTTCAATCTTGAACTGAATAACTCACTTTATAAGGCTTTAACATCTTAATGGTATATTATGGTATTCAATGAACAAATGTATGCGCTCTCAATTTTTTTGTAATGTCATATGATTTTTAACGGAAAAACTGGTCAAACTTTGCATATGCTAAATCCGGGAATGTGGTGAGTTAGATGTTTAAAAGGCTTTGTCTTGAACGTCAACAAATTCCGATTTGATTGGAGAAGCATCTAATTTCTTTGACACATTTCTACCCTTACTTGCTAGACCATTTGTCTCTTAAGTAACTCATTAATAGGTGCATTGGCTCTCCATACCTTTTATGAAAAAGACAACAAAGCCATGAATCTGACGTAAGTAGGTTCGGGTAATTTGGTAACAACATATGTCTATACAAGGGTCTGTGGAAACATCAAACTGACTGAGCACATGGCCGAGATAGACAGCACACATTCTAAAAGCTAACATTTAGAGTATTTTGATGGTAAAAAACACATCTAATTTCATAGACTGACTGGAAATGAACAACACGTTCCTGTGTAGTTAAAGAAAAACTCAGGATCTCAAATAAATTATGAGACAGTCTCGAAGGTGCAAGTCGCCCATGAATCTTTGCCACGAGATGTTTCAAGGTTGCTGGAGAGAATGTGAGCGAGCTAAAACCTCATTCTACTTCATTTGAGATTGGGGCCTTATATCTCTCATCACTCCAATCTTATGCGCTGTCTCACCTCTTCGTACATGCCAGATGGATACCCTCAGGATTGTTGCTTCAAGGACGATGGCCTATAAAGTACGATTTCATTTAATCAAGGTCTGGCTTTTTTCAATATGGGTAAACGCTGAAGAAAGCACATGGTTTCCTGTGATTCAAGACTTCTTTAAAGCCTGTCATGGACATATTTAAAAAAAAAATCGTCTATGATTCATTGCGTAATAATTGTTTAATTATTAAACATATCAATTGTTGAATTGTATATCACTTACTTTTTATATGTTTATTTATTTGCCAAATTTATTTATAACATTATGCAAATTTACACTTTGATGTTTATTAACATCAAAATATTTCATTTATATGAGAATGTTCCGTGTCTTTAACTTCCATATGTACGATATTTTCTTTAAAGCGCAAAGATTTAATTTCACGTTAAGTACTTAACATTAACTAGCATCCAATTGGTGTACGTATTTCACGAGTAAACGTTTGAAAATAAACATCATCAACAACAAATGGTATAGATGAAATAGTCCATGTATGTGCATGAATGTAGATCTATGTATATATCAAACATTGTAACGCTTCAAGAAATCTGAAACGAATAATAAAAAATGATTTTTTATTAAGTGAAGTAAAACTGTTGTAAAACTTACATTACCTAGTGTTATAAACTATCCAATTATATGTACCTCTTGTTTGACTTACACTGCAGCTTAAATTTAAATTTAATGTGTACATGTACATTGAGATATGTTGCATACAGATAACATATATGTGTACGTGTCCATATTTGAGCACAGTATGATATAGTTAGTTCACAGTTAACAAATAGATTATAACTTAACATAAAATTAAAGCGATAATGTCGCAGATGATGCGAATTTAGACACGAAAAGTTAACTTTGTTTGGGGTAGGGGGTGTTCAAATTATTTATTGCGGAGGTGGTTAAAGTCATTATTAATCGATATTTATAGAGTGATTATATTTACGATTCGCTTTTTTTCATTTATTAGTATGCTTTCATTTATTCATTTTAGTTGAAGTTTTTTGTTGTTGCGACACTCACACCCTGATTATTGGAAATGTTGCACATTTTCAACAATTAAATGTTTCTTGCAGTATTTATTGAGCCTATTATATTTCAACATTTTTCAACTATTAACTCAAGTCCGCCGTGGTCGCAGAGCAGAGGGAATTCCTTAAAAAGCCATTTTTTCATATCTTTTTATGGCAATCTTGGACACAAAACTATAAAAGCATCTTTTGTCGTTTTCGTTTTTTTGTTGTTGTTCAAGGCTATTTATACTTTTTATTTTTTCACAGTCAACTAATCAGAATTGTCTAATTTTTGCGACGTAAAAAGGGTTATACAAAGTATCTCTTGTTTTTTTTTATTAGTAGGCATCGATAAACCAATTTCAGATGTGTGACAATGATAAAAGGACAGTGTTATTTGACTAATGATGGCGCAATATAGGACAATTTCATAGTTATAACTATTTGACACTTTATTTCGCAGTCACGGCTTGGTTTTCGTGGGAGCATTTAAAGCTTGAACAGTACTGAAACCTTAGTTTTTCCGGTTTATCTTGCAATGAATATCAGTTAAACAACATGTACAACGACCACTTATGTATAACTAAAAAAACTTTGAAATACGAACATGGTAAAATATCATTGAATATTGGTTTAAACTAATTAAAATAGTAACTTAATTTTAAAACGTGCGTGTTGCTGGCATACAGGGTTCTTCAGAACACATGTTATTTAAAAAATGAATACATTTTGATGCGTAACGCAAGAGCATATAAAAAATAAAATGTACAATATAAATGAAGTGTAAAAATTAAGACATGCACGATAGTCTTCTTAGCTTTTATTTTAGCCTCTGCTATTTGGCATTGAGTCACTCTTCGTGCCTTTTCTATATCTTTATTTCATCTTTGCCTCTGCTAAAACACTGGTACTTTTCGTACCAACATTTTAACCTCTGACCATGGTTTTAGTATTTCACGAGGAAAAAAAGGTCGAAAATCAATATAATTGATCGATGAAACAAACCATATATCTCATTAAAGTGACTCAGAACCATAAGCAAGGGACAGAGTCTATTTATCATGCGATAAACCTGATTAAAATTAATTAAAACATTATGCCGTTTATAAATTTATATATTTCTTTAGGATTTTACTGAGAAAAAACCTAAAACTCCGAATCCATCCAAAAATTTAATCAAAGCTTAGCTTCCAGCTTTCTACAAAATTTATCTATCAGGGCTAGAATCCAAAATTATTTAGCCAATCAAATCTGATCTTATATAGCGTCAAAACCTTCAATTTTCACGCCATTTTTAAAAAGCAGCAAGAATTGTTTTGAGTGCAAAGATATAATGATGATTAAAATGTTTGTTTTCATGGATTCTTTTCAGTAAATCATATTTACAATGACCTTTGATTTAGCGATTTCATCAGTCCTGTTTACTCTGAAGTAAGTTTTCGTTTGGTTAATTAACATAAACGACATATGGTTCTGTGCATTTCCCCCCTTTTTTCCGGTCATTTCATCCTTTCCGGTATTTAGTGTATGCATTTACTGTATTTTCCGGGATCGTATAAGATAATAGAGGAAAAAACTAACTATCTATATTTGTGTTGATTATTGTCGTAATGAAAGGCCATTAAACGTTAAGTTTTTTTATTGTATGTTATGAAAGTTAAATTGATTTAACTTAGGATATAGATATATTTAGAGCTATTTATTATCAAAATCACAATACTTATCATTTATGCCTAATTAATTGGAAAAATCAAAGACTATATTCTTGAATTGGTAAAATTCCGGGATCCCTATATGTTTTTATACAATCCCAGCTTTTCACCTAAAACAATATTCTTGAACTGTCCAATTCCTGTGATCTCTATATTTTTAATATGATCCCGGCTTTTCTGAAAACTATATTCTTGAACTGGTCAATTTCCGGGATCCTGTATTTTTAATCGGATCCCGGCTTTTCTGGCTGAATTGATTGACAACTTGTGTTTACTTTAGGACTTGTATCTGTCACTTATTCCAAAACTAAACAAGCAATTATCATAGTATTGCAAGCAATCCATAAGTCCCCTACCGGTTAAAACCCCATCAACATTCTGAAGGGCCATTCGCCATTCAATAGTGTTTCAATTTTTCTCTATTTTAAGTTAATTTGTTGGAAAAGTTCTTTAAAAGTGATCACAGGAAACAGTTTTATGAACAGACAGACAGACGGACTGAAGGACACTCTAAAGTTAATATTTGAAACATCCCTGTTACCAAAATATAACATTTTAAAAGCAAAATTCTTAAAGAGAGATAACTCTTGAATTAAAGATGCAATTTCATAAAAATTTCAGCTTCTTTTTGACTAATCACAAATATTGTTATATTTGCCATGTTTTAAGCCTATTTGTTGCCAAGGCAACTGATATTTTTTCAAAATAGGAATAACAGATAAGACATGCATAATCTCAAGACTGCTATCTACCCATATGTCAAGTTTCATAAAAATATTTCCAGTACTTTTTGAGTTTTCACTGGATTCAGTTTATGTGTAAAATTTGCCATATTTTCAGTCTATGTGTTGCCATAGCAACCAGAATTTTTAACATAGGAAGAAAAAGAAAAAGACGTGCATAATCTCAAGACTGCCATCTACCCATATGTCAAGTTTCATAAAAATATTTCCAGTTCTTTTTGCGTTATCACTGGATCCAGTTTATGTGTAAAAATTGCCATATTTTCAGCCTATTTGTTGCCATAGCAACCAGAATTTTCATCATAGGAAGAAAAGAAAAACACGTGCATAATCTCAAGACTGCTATCTACTCATATGTCAAGTTTCATAAAAAATATTTCCAGTACTTTTTGCGTTATCGCGGGATCCAGTTTATGTGTAAAATTTGCCATATTTTCAGCCTATTTGTTGCCATAGCAACCAGAATTTCCAACATAGGAAGTAAAGAATAAGACGTGCATAATCTCCATACTGCCATCTATCCATATACCAAGTTTCATAAAAATATTTTCAGTACTTTTCAAGTTATCGCGGGATCCAGTTTTGTGGACGGACGGACTGACGGACTGAAAGACAGACGGACGGACGGACAGACGGACGGACAGACGGACAGACGGACGGAGGGTAAACCTCAAGTCCCCTCCGGTAAACCGATAGGGGACTAATAACATATTACAACTTAACTATGGGTTCGATCCCCGGGAGATGCTTTGGTAGTTTAGCGCGGAGGAAGGTAGTCTAGTACTGGTGTAACTCTCCAGGAACGATGGTTAGGAAACTACCCGCCTATATGACTGAAAAACTGTTGAAAAAGGCGTAAAATGAAACAAACAAACAAACAACTTAACTTCGTATAAAGAGACATTTTTATAAATTCTACTTATTTTTTTTTCTGGTCAAGGTCAACAGGCCATATATTAAATGTGCATAAACATAGGACCTTAATTCTATCTGTTTACATGCATCTTCATATATACTCATATTCCTCTTTGTTTAACTGAGAGAACTGGCTTCCTTAACTTTATATGTCACTTTTATTTTGATGTTCGCTGAAGTCTTTTCAGCTAACAGAACTGTCATTTTTACATTAAAACACGCCCCTGGAAAGAAATTACGAAGCGAGTCGCTACTAGCTTTTTAAAAAGCTAACCTTGTCTATTTACGGCAGATTTTTGTTTCTCTAGAGAATCAAAGCACGAAATACTGCATTACGGTACCTTAAAAACGAGGCGTATGTTTTACTAGTTTATGAAACGAATCAAATACTTTTAAAGTGTATTGGGAGTTGATAAACACGTGGCTATGATATCTCAAAAAACTCGATGATAAGCATTAAAACTCAAGTGAGTTGAAACTGCAAATCATCCGTGTTATTGTCCAGAGTGAATTTTTCTTTCATTGATTGTAAAGTGCGTCCATTAACTGTCAGTCAATGATAAAGTGCTTCTGATAATGTAACTAGAGTGATTTCCCTGATTAAACAAAAACAAAATGTTATATGTTTCATAAATAGGTTCGAATGTTATCCTGATAAAACTGCAAGCTGTTAAGAAGAAACCGCAACAGTTTTTATCCCTTAAACAACCAGGGGCCCAAACATGAATTGTCAAATGCGAATAGTCACGGTTATATCTGATTTGGTCCACATGGCAAAAATATGGCAGATGCCCCTTTAAAAAAAATTATGGGGCCAAATTTTAAAGGGGAAAAAAAAATATAATATAGTTTTTAAATTTAAAATAAGTGCGGGGGTTTAAGATTTAGTTTGATCAATTTTAATTTTCTTAAAAAAAATTATGAAATTTTTTAGCCCCAGAATTAAAATAGCCATTTTAAAAATTTTAAAAAAAGTTTAAAGGCCAATTTTTAACCAAAAATACAAAATTTTTAAACCTTTTAAATTTTCAAAAACATAGGAAAGTAATTTTGAGTTTGCTTTTAAAAATACGCAATTTTTTAAAACCCTTAAATTTTAAAAAATATATGATATTAAATTTAGAATGGAAATTAAGCTTTAAAAACAAAGGAAAAAGGAAACCCGGGGGAAAGGGGTTTTTTTGTAATTTAATTTTCAAAATTTTTGGGGCACGATGTTTTTAAGCCAAGTTCACAGTAAAATTATTTAATATTTTACAAGGTCATTTAATATACATTTCTTTAAAAAAACGAAGCAAACTTTGAAAACAGCACATCATTTTGAATAAGGCTTAATAGCAAAAAAAGTAGCAAAATGGTC